ATGGCAAAACAAAAAGTGCTTCACCACTCGTTCCTACTGAAAATTCTATTGGTTGCTCCATGCAGTTGAGATACAGTTCATTATAAAGTCCCTCACTAAAGACAAGAAGCATTCACGAACCTTGATTTCTTCTTCATAGCAATAGCTTTGTTTTTTGCATATAGTTGAAATGATTGCAGAGTTAAAAGTCATTGATAATTTTTTTTGCCACATTCTGTATTTTTCATGATTGTGTCAAAATTTTAATTTCTACTTCACTTTCCCACATGAACATTGAAGCAGCACAGCACAACGTGCCAACTACTTGAGAAATTCAGAAGATAGAAAAGAATACCGGCAACTCGCACACAGACCTGGTAACAGTAGAGAGGATGCGAGCGACTTCCTGGAGCCCAGCAGAATAGCCGATACCGCTCTGAGCAGCCCAGATCCACCTCTTTCGGTGGAGAATCCTTGCAAGCGTGGGAAGGGGAGACTGATGCTGCTGTTGCTGCTGGGATGTGGATGGGGAAGCTTGGCTGAGAAAATCCATCGTTGAGAAGAAGTCCTGAGGTACTCGGTCATACCTAAGGCAGGGAAACGGCATGAATTAACCGATAGTATGGAGAAGGAATGAACTAGAGAAGATTGCTTCACGTGCCATGATTGGAAAGATGAGATAGCTAAGAGACAGTTACTTTTAAGTTGCACAAACAGATGCACAAATGAACCTCTAGAGCAGGGGTGCCCAAAGTTTTGGGTCAGCGGGGCCGCATAATTGGAAAACCTTGCTTTTCTGCCTGGTAAATAATATACCAAATAAAAATATTTTTCCTGGTTTTGACCTAATTCAACTTGCTGTTTCACCGAAGTGGGCCTCTTTTATCTTGCCTCTCATCATCCAGCGACGGTGGAAACGGAAACTAACGACGAGATAGGAGTTTTTGACGTGATTCTGAACCAAACTGCCAGGTTCGGTTCAGGCCTGGACTGCCAGGACTGTCGAACCATCAGAGATCAGCTCAATCCTCTTGAATGGTTCAATGTAGACGAATTCCGAAGGTTTTCACCGTCGCCGACTTGCTGCGCACGATGGAATTGCAGCTGCCACACTAATCATCATTCTCTTTGCAAGGACTCCCACACCGCCTTTAACGTGTCTAAGTCGTGGATAAACGTGTTCACGAAACTAATATGATTTTCGATGGGGCATGTCAAAGAAACATTTTCTTAAACCTGTTTTAGTAATCGTGTTCATCGCGTCTTTAAACCATTCCGATTCCTCCATTGGTGCATGTCACCCAAAGTATTCGTGAGTCCACTCGTCTTGAAACATGCGATTTCCTTCATCGATACGAGATATTTTACGCTCTGCTGACATTGCAACAGAAAAACAGAATCCAAAGTGTAATCCACACTGTCGCTTGGTATCGGCTCGACTGATAATCCCAGTCTTCATGGAATGAGCGGTTTCGACAACAAAGGACAACCTGTTCGTTTGTCCTTCGAGAGACTGATGACACAGTACAAGCCCTACGGAAGAGGCTGGCGCAATATAGCCCAGGTTTTTGCTCCTATTCTCCCTTCACTCCTTCCAGATGGGATTGTAGAAATAGGTAGGGATGTCAGAAGGTGCCACGAAATGTTAAACATTATCTTGATATGAATCTCTTACTGCGGTATGTTTGCGACGCCGTGGCGGCCATTGGGAGGAATCTAACAGCATGAATTTATCAGAGATATTTTTGCGTGAAAAAAAAATGCAAAGAAACTCTTTGGAATGATGCGTGCAACGCATATTTTCAGCAGAATCTGGCAGTCCTGCGTATTCTCTCGCCCTCACAGATCGCACCTGGATGTGAAGTCCAGCTATGCGCCTCATGTTTACCCGATGTAAGTGTCAGGATGATTCCATATCCGAGAATTTTGACCGGGAATAGACTGTACTTACCCGCGAGAGAATTTAAACCTAGTCGTTCATTCCGTAGCGCTAAAATCGTTCATTCATTTGCATCATCATAACAAATTCATTTGTTTTCCAAAACTTCTCGCGGGCCGCACAAAAGCCCTTGGAGGGCCGCATGCGGCCCGCCGGCCGCACTTTGGGCACCCCAGCTCTAGAGTGAATAAATATTGGTAGATTAGAGAAGCTGAGAAAGGCACGCAACAAATACATAGCACTTAAGAAATGAAACAGAAAGAGGAATTGACCATCACAGTGTCAAATTGGATTGGATCAAATTGGGAGCCCCCGAGTCATATGACTTTCCCAGAAGAAACGCATGACTGAAAAAGGACCACGACCGTGACACGACCGTGAACCCAACTTCGCCTCCAACTCACCGAACGAGTATCTTCTCGATGGGTTTGACGATCTCCACGCAGCATCGCTCGGGTCGGTCGTCCTTGAAGGCCTTGTCCTCGTTGTGGAAGGACAGAGAGATGTGCTTCTTCTCCTTCCCTCCGCCGCCTGCCTTTTGGGTCGGGCGTGGTGGGAATGTCAAATGGAAAATCTTCTCCCTCAATTTGGTCACAATCTGTTCACAGAAACAGATACATTACAAAGATAGCAAAAAATAAATAAATAAAAAAATCATGGAGAGTTAGCAAAAAATAAAAATGAAGCTTTCTTGCAGGAAATTAATTATTCTTGACCTTCAGACCCAGGCAACTTCATGCCTTTACTCCAATATTCCAAGCATGTGGATACAAGATAACTAGATTCTGGAGATTCCATTAATGCCCGTATCATTAGTACCTATTTATAATCTCTTAATGATCACCGAACATTCAGCCATGAAATTCCTGAACAAATTCATGTGAATTCATGTGTTTCCTGATATGCAAGGCATATCTATGTCTGGTATTTTCTGAGGGCTCCATAAATTCAAGCTCCTTCTTGTCATGATCACATTATGGAAAAAAAAAATTTTTTTCCTGCACTCTGCTTAGCTGACCACAAGACCATTCAGTCACCAGCAAGTAGTATAATAAAATTTCCAAAGCTGGAAATGTATCACCCAGGGGAAAAAATCATGCATAAATTTATTTACACTTTTCTTTTGGGGGGGGACGGTGTGGCTCATTTTCTTGACAATTCTGGAATGGTATGCGTGCCAAGATTTGGTTTTTTTTCAGGGAGAGACTCTCATGAGCCTCAAATTCTGATTTCAGATCCTCTATCCCAGGGGGGGGGGGGTGGGGGGGTGGGAATAAAAAATTGAAAACATAATTTGCAACTTATGCAGTGTGTAGTGATGGGGATAGAGGATCTGAAATCAGAATTTGAGGCTCATGAGAGTCTCTCCCTGAAAAAAAACCAAATCTTGGCACGCATACCATTCCAGAATTGTCAAGAAAATGAGCCACACCGTCCCCCTTCTCTCCTCGATAGATCCTTCGCGCCGGACCAAACGTCTTCAGCCGGATCCCGACGTGGGAAGCAGCCCAGCAAGCACTTTCAAGACAAAATCCGCCACGCCGCTCCGAGAATCTCCCGAGCCGCGAGCGCTCAAGAGCACGGGGGGACAGCGTCACGAATGAATGCGCTCCGATTAATCCAGTCTCGCGTGGGCGGGTGCGACCGAGAAGACGTGCCAAACGCCGATGTCTTCATGTCTCTCTTCCGAGACCGAGTAGATAATTTCCAGACTGGATTGCTAAAACCTCGTGACAAACATAATGATCCTGCTGATCCCTCATTAAGGCATTCCTCGTCGCAACGAATACTCTATATAACTCTTCCACACGGTGATCTCGAAAAATCCCAACCGAAAACTAAATCACATAGGACTTGTGGCATTTTTCCCCAGTCCAGTTCTTTGCCTTGATCCTTCGGACACCAAAAACTCGCATCGTTTCGGGGCAATTAGTCGAAGTGACCCCCCTAAAAAAAAAAAAAAAAATCTCACCAGCAATGGACATGGCACGACAAGGACTTTGGTTATTTGTGTTTAATGGGCAAAAACGAAAGGGTGGAAAATTCCAAAGCGGCAATCAAACGGGGCACATAAAAGCGTCTCCCCGGCAAAAAAAAAAACTCTATTAACATTCCAAAAGATGCCACACGAGCCATCACCACTTGCAGCAAGATCTTTAATCTCACAAGGAAAAGCCTCGCAAGGACGATAGAATAATGAAGTGCAACTAACGAGCACCAAGGATATCGTCCTTCCTCGCGGTTTGTTCCAGGATTTATCTTTCCACGAACCAGTAAACCCATGTCTCCCAAAATGGTCAAATCCCTTCCCCCCCCTCCCCCCCCCCGTCATTTCGTCACACGACCCCAGTAATTCCCATCACGACAGCACCTCCCCAAAACGACGTCCGGGCGCCGAAACGGATGAAACACGCGGAAAAAAACCAGTTTATGCCCATCATTCATTTAATCCCGCGCGGCAGGTCTCCTTTTTTTTTCCCACACACCTCGGACATGCGTCACACGGCCACGAACGCAGACAAGAGTCGTGGACGCCGTGAAGGTCACCCACTGCGGATTCGGGAAAACCTCGCGATTAAACCCACGGAAGCAACACACCAGCGGGATCCAGTCCAGATCAAGGCAAACCTTTTTTTCACCCCCGCCCCCCCTCTCCCCGCTGCCGCGAGGGAAGACCCGCAGTGCTTCCCCGGAGCGCAGTCGGAACGCAGTCAGTCCACCCTTCACCCGCGTGCCGTGCTCCCCAGCGCCAGTGTCGGCGCTTGGCGTCGTTCCCAGTTATCGTCGCTGTTAGTCGCTTGTGTGGCTCCCAGTTTATTTCACGTTTTTCTCGTGATTTCCTGAGTTAATGACGTGAGAAACGAAAGCCTTTCGGTTTAAAGTCCTGCCAGGAATTTTGCCATTTCTGGATTTTCGTTATGCGATTATCGCCTTACTCACTCCATTCTCTCTAGATATTGCGACAAATTATTCTAAGGGATACTACGATTTTATTTCAAAATGATTCTTCGATTTTTATTTTTTAAATGTATACTCATTATTTTTAAAATGATAAATATATAAATTTCCAAAACTTCCCCAACAAAACGCTCCGCACATCCCTCTCGTTCGGATACGTGAGAGCGTCCACGTTAACGGATCCATCTATGAATGGAGCGGGATTCACCATCGCAGAAAAAAAAGAGATAAAATCAGGGGAAACCAACTATTTGATTTACATCCATTAAGAAAACTCGTTTCGGAGTGACAGACGAGGATTCGAGAGAATTTTCATCAAGGTGATCGGATGATAAAAGAATGAGAGAAAAGGCAGGAAAAGAAAGGCATGACCCCGCCCAAACAGGTCTCGGATCCCAGAACCTTGGCGAACACTCAAATGCGTCCGTTAATGAGCGACCACAAGCGGAAAAATACGATTTTTAAATCATTAGTGAACGTGAAGGAACTATTGCAATGCTGTTCGATGTGTGTGCGTGCGTTTGTGGCCAATTACAAGTCGGAAAACCTGTTTCGATGTTGTTCTCGAAAATTCTGCAATGCAATGTCGACCATTTGCAATTTCCTAATGTTGAAAGTAACGAGACAAAACCATAAAAAAGTACAGAAACGATAAAAATAGTACTCGTAGTATGACCGCGAGGAACTAGTATTCAGGCTGGACCGGTTTCGTTTATTCCCCACCCCCGCCCTTCGCATTCTCACGGAGCGATTCGATTCGGATCGGCGTGTTCGTGAGAGGTCATAGATGAGCTGCAAAATGGGCAGCGTAACGGCGTTGCGTCACTTCCTCCCCCCGTATCGATGGGAAAGCCCTCGCAATGGGAATCCGACCGAGGACTTCCATCGAAAATAAACCAGGACACTGGACCGTCTTCAGATAAACCCGCTCTTTCTTTCGAGATTGGGGGGAAGCGAGGCGGCAACCCTGCTCAAGCGAGTGTGACTCGACGCGGCGGGAAGAAGGGTGCAGCCTTTCGACGAGAAACGAAAGGAGCATCCAGTCGCAGCGCGCGAGCATTCAGTCGCAGCGCGGGAGCATCCAGCATCAGCGCGAGCATCCAGTAGCAGCGCGGGAGCATCCAGCATCAACGCGCGAGCATCCAGTAGCAGCGCGGGAGCTTCTAGCATCAGCGCGCCGACGGGATCGCGACGATGGCGAGCCTCGTTCCCTTCCTGGTCCTCGGCTCTGCTTTTCTGGTTTCCGGAAACGCGCCGTTCGCCCCGGGGAACATCATCGAAGGTGAGCCACATTTCAAATATCAATTATTTTTATCTCCAAAAAAACCAATTATCCTCATCCCCGAACACTGTTCACCGGATTCGTCCTGGCTGTTCTGGGCGTCCCAAAAAGGAACTCTTCACCAGATTATGCAACTCCACGTCCCATTATCTGCATGACATGCACGTTGCGCATTTATGGCGCGGCCCAACTTTCACTAGGAAACGAATTCACTCGAACGAGCATCGCAGGCCTTTTTCCGAGTGGAGACAGAAAAAATCACCACTTTCACGCTTTTGGCCCTTTCGGCTCCGCGTCTCGGGCCCGTTCGACGTAGTCGCGACTTCATCCGGAATGAATCCCGGAACTTCTTCGCACGTGTCTCGAAGTCGCTCGGCGCACACGCACTCGCGGCATTTTACGACCGATATATATTACCTATTCGCATTAAATACTTTATACATAAATTGATCATAGGTCCTTGGGCTTCCGACGCCGACGAAGCCGCCGCTCGTTTCGCAACGCTGTAAATGCAGTTCAAAGCGCAGCCTCAAAGTTGGCGCTCGCACGCGTTATTTATACCGGGAAATTTAAAAAAAATTCTCTCTTTCCGGTTTCAACTTCTTAAAACGCAACAATTCCGACAGTGCTGCCTCGGAACCCGCAAAAAGAACTGCTTTGAGACTGCCACTTGTTTCAAGCGCAGAATAACTGCTTCAAACAGCGGTAAAGTCAGTGGTACACGCAATAAAATAAATATTTAAAAATATATAATATAAATATATATTTTACCTTCTTAAGTTATCTCCATGGTTCCTCCTCTATCGAGATTCACCGGGCTCGACTACTTGCAAGGAAAATTCGAAGAAAACTCAGGACTTTCCCCAGATTTCCCACCGTTCACGCGGAAGATCAAAGTTCAGAGCGCCCGCATAAAAAAAAACTAACTAAATTTGAAATGGAAATTCCGTCCCCCCAGACGCTTTCTTCTGGGCCGAGCGGGGTTCAGAGGCGCTGACGGAGGCGTTGCGCCGGAGCCAGCTGCCCCGGGAACACCGGGCCAAGAACGTCATCTTCTTCGTCGGGGACGGCATGGGGAGCTCGGTGCTCACGGCCGCGAGGATCTACAGGGGGCAGATGGCCGGGAAGACCGGGGAAGAGGGCAGTCTGGCCTTCGAGTCCTTTCCCTACCTCTCGCTCGTCAAGGTCAGTCGGGCGAGTTTTGCCGAGATCGGCTGGGAGCGGGCGAAAATCTGCGAATACAGGTCTTCGCTAATCGACAGGTGTTAACAATTTCGAATGACCCCTTTTTAACCCGTGACCGCGGGTCGACGAGGCAACAGTTGCGAGTTCGCGGGGAAACCCAAGAAGAATCCGGTCTCGTGAGTGGATTGCGTAAGCTTTCGCGATGTGAAACTTCTGGTTCTGGTCAGGGTCGACATTCGCGAGAGTCAAGAGCGTTCGTTTCCCTTTGCTGCGAAGACACGCCCGCACTGCAAGGCGACACCGGCCTTGAGAATTTTTTTTTTCGTACACGGCTGTCGAGCCTTGACGAGTTCACGATCGAAACGAAAAAAAAAAAATTCTTGCCAAAGCTTAAAAAAAAAATCACTTCCTCGACGCAAGAGAAAGTCCCCAGCGAAAGCAACCGTCTCGCCCGCCGATCTCGAAAGCGACCCCATCCCCCCGCTGACGTCACACCCCCCCCCCCCCTTTCTCCCTCCAGACCTACAGCGTGGACCACCAAGTCCCCGACTCCGCGAGCACCGCCACGGCCATGTTCACCGGCGTGAAGACCCGCAGCTCCTTCCTCGGCCTGGACGCGACGGCGGACGCGGACGACTGCACCTCGAGGAGCCGCGTCCCCTCCCTGCTGCAGTGGGCCCAGGACGAAGGCAAATACACCGGTTCGTCCTTCCCCTTCTCCCGCTCTCGACGAGGCCGAACCTTTCCGCCCCTCGTAAAAAACCCCCGACGGGATCCGTGCACGCGTGGGTGGCGAACGAACCCCGCGATCTCGCCAGGCTCCAATCGACCTTGACAGCGAAAGTGGATCCAAATTCCCGTCCGATTTTTTTTTGTCGGTCGTGAGAGGCGTCTCCCGTCCCGCGGAATTCGCCACCACCGATAACGATGACGACATATCCCGACGATGACGCGTCCAGATTTTTCCCCGAAACCAATCCGAGTCCGATCTTTTCGTTCCATTCTTCCGTTTCGAAGTTCCTTCATTGAGGCGTCGTGATCGACCGTGGGCGACTCGACCGACCGTCGTGATCCAATTTCAAGGACGAAAATAATCACAAGAGAAAAAAAAAGAAGGGGAGTGACACGTGGACACAAACATTGCATACAGCGTGACGAGGCCAGAATTTCACCTTTCTTTCTTTTAAGCAACTCCTCCAGTTCACGTTCAAGGTTTGTTCGTGCCGGTGATCCCAGTCGGGCAGAGCGAAGACGATCGTGCCCCGATCGGGCTCGTCGCGCCGAGCTGGAATTCCCCACCGTTCGGCCCTCGGGTCGACTGCACGACCTCACGGCTCGGACGCATCTGCCGTGTCCTGCGTTCGAACCGGAAGAATCGCGTTTCCGCGCGAGCAAACCCCTCCGCCCTCGGGGCCGAGAGCACCTCGAATTCACCGCGACCCGACTCGCGACAACCGCAAAATAAGCCCCACCTCTCCCCCACAGGCCTCGTGACCACGACGCGGGTGACCCACGCGACCCCGGCGGCCCTCTACGCCCACGTCCCCAACCGCAACTGGGAGTGCGACACCAAGATCCCCAGGGAGGTCCACGACTCGGTCGCCGGCGGGGAGTGCAAGGACATCGCCCGGCAGCTCGTCGAGGAAAGGCCCGGCCAGAACCTCAGGGTCTGTCGCGTCGCTATCGTCGGGGCGCTGTTGGGACGCAGGGTTGTTGGCTCGGTCGTCATCGAAGTCATGTCGGCCGTGATACGATGAAAAAAAAAACTCAAGACCCGGTGGATAAACTTAAAATTCACATTGAAGTGATGAGACCGATATGCTTCATCTCGGTCTCATCACTTCACAGCTCCTCCTTCGAAAATCGCATCGCGGTTCCGACCTCTCAAACCACACGACAGATCGAGCCAACCCCCCTCGAAAGCCACCGCCCCCGAACGTCTCACCCCAAAGCACATTAACCCCCACCCCCCAGGTCATAATGGGCGGCGGAAGGCAGCAGTTCCTCGACTTCGTCCCCGAAGACCAACGCGTTCGTGCCTGCTACAGGGAAGACCGACGGAATCTCATCGCGACCTGGGCGAACCACAAGGTGTCCCTCAACGCCTCTTTCATGTACCTCGAGACGACGGAGGACCTCGAGAGGCTCGACCCAGCACGAACCGACTACGTCATGGGTATCCATTTCGTCTCCATCATTTTTTCACGCCGATTCGTCCTCGTGACTCCACGACTGTCTCGTCGTTGCACAGGGCTGTTCGACATGAATCACATGAGCTACGAGGTGGATCGAAACAAGACGGCCCAAGGGCAACCCCACCTGGCGACGATGACCCAAAAAGCCATCGAGATGCTTCAAAGGGGACCAAAGGGATACTTCCTGATGGTGAGAGACTCTTAACGACACGCTCGGCCCACACAGCCCTGCATGACCCATCCCCTCGTGCACAGGTCGAGGGCGGGAGAATCGACCACGGCCTCCACGACAACAAAGCTCATAGGGCCATACAGGAGACTCTGGCGTTCGAAGAAGCAGTCCGGATCGCGATGGAGCTCACTTCCCCGAAAGACACTCTGATCGTCGTCACCGCGGATCACGACCACGTCATGACCATCAACGGATATCCCAAGCGAGGCAACGACATCCTGGGTGAACGTCTCTTCCATCGAAGATTCGGTAAAATCGACCATTAAACGCGAACGACGAATGCATCGTACTTTCTTTGTCGACGAAATCTAAGGTGTGGCGAGCAACGGCGAAGTCGACGGCCTTCCGTACACCACTCTCATGTTCACGACCGGCGGGAGCTACGACTACAAATGCACCAAGATCCTCGACTACGGCGGAAACATCTTGGGAGTCCTCCCCCTGAGGAAGAACATCTCGGACACCGACACCAGGGATACCGAATACCGACAGCTCTCCGGGGTCTGGAACCGGTACGGCGGAGAGACGCACGGCGGACAGGACGTGCCACTATACGCCCAAGGTCAGTATATTCAGAGATCTAGCCGACTTTCCTTCTCGGATGTCATCACGCATAAATGCAACACGAGTCGCAACTTCTCTCGTGCACGCGACCAGGTCCGGGCGCACACCTCTTCACAGGCCTCCAAGAGCAGAGTTACATCGCTCACGCCATCAGCTACAGCGCGTGCATGGGCCCGCACAAGAAGGACTGCTTGGCGGGCCAAAACCCCAAGCACCCTGCCAAGCCGTTCACCTCAGGTACTTCGCCATTCCATGAGGCCCAGCATGCTCCACATCTCCTATCCCTTTCCATCGTGTCTCTCGTGACTTTTTACGGCCTATGATCCTGAGAAAGTATCGGAGACCTATCCTAGTCAGTGCCTGAATCAGTCAAATCTCATGGCTGGTGCTAAAACCGGTGATACTCTCCTACAGAACCTCGTGTATTCACTTCGTAGGTGCTATCGATAAGGTCGCTGTGGTGGGCATATAACAGAATCAGCTGCATTGTGATATATCGTACTACATAGGCAGCAAAGAGCTCATGTGTGATGTCGAGGAAATGTCTCATGCTATATTCAAAGCTTCTTACACTGAATAAAGAGCTTTTAGTATATCCCTCGGAAGACCAAGTCGTACTCAGGGTCATAGGTGCTTTCCTCTGCGTTTCCTCCGCTCAGACCTTTCAAAAATATTCAGTCACACAGGATGGGACAAGACCACAGAACCCACGTGCTTCTGTGTGTACTGTACTGGTATCAAACTTAAAAGCTAACCAAAGGCAGTTTCCAACGCACTTCCGAATGCTTCTGTCGACAAAAATAACGTAGGAGAGAATGAAATAAAATATTAAGTCTTCTGCATGAGGAAATGCCTTTTCTTTCTTTGTAGGCAAAGGTAATGCAAAAAAGAAAAAAGGATGAAAGAGGAAAGTTGGAAGCCAAGAAGGGAAGGGGAGAGGCAAGCCAAGGGGACTTGTCCCATCCTGTGCCCCGACAAACTGTGCAGGGGACACTACCTAGGGCTGAAACCAGGCTTTCGCTCCACACAGGCCAGGCAACCCACCCCACGTGGAAACCAAGAACCCGAAGACCCAAGGGTCGAGCCTTTCCCCACCCATATTCCTATGCCAATACAGGCCGTCATCGTGGCGGTGACGACGAAGACGACGACGACGACGACGACGACGACGATGACGACTAATCTCAGGAGTTGATATGATTGCGTTTTGCAGTCTCTGTTTGTCCTTGTTGCCAAAGGTTAGTACCAAATATAAGACCTCGTTTCAGGTGTGCTTGCTGCCAATTTTGCATGCATGATAGTTTGTCACTGTTATTGCATGACCTTGCCACCTCATTCCAAAGCCTGGTTACAGCCCTATTTGCTTTTCTCATACATACCTCTATTTCTATCAATTCTTTTTCTATTTCCCTATTGTGAACAATCATATCTGTGAATAAAGACCATGATCGTCAAGATACATGATTCAGGTTTTTTTCTTCTTTTGCTTTTGTTTCCTCTTTGCTCATTTCCTCCTTTCCTCCTCGGGAATGCTGCAAATTAAATGACCTTTTCAGGGCCAAATCACATTTACTATTATATAAGATTGCTGTGCAAGTGGAATAAAATCTCTCCTCAAAAGCAAATGGATGGCTTCTTTCATTTGTTACTTCCATGATCAGAGCAGTTACAAGCCCTGCCCAGGGGTTGCAAGAAGACAAATATGAAAAATATGAGATTTGCTCCATAAGTATTTTTTTTTAGTTTCTGCTGCTGCATCGTTGTTGCATCCCATGCATATCACCATACCATATCAATGCCCATTACACATACACAGATGTAATTTTCATTCAATATCCTAAGCAAATAAAGCAGTGCATTCATTAAGTGATAATCAGTTGCTATGATTTGGCTCTAATGTGACTGCTCTTACATGAGCATGAGCTGTGGGCTTGAGTAATAAAGGTTCATAAGCACACAAACAGGGAATACATGAGCTCATAGATCACATACAAGCAGTGACATATGAGGTGCAATTTTACAGCATATGATGATGGCTTTAGATTCAAGCTCCCTTTGTCAAAGAGATACCAACTTTGTGCGTTGTCACCTAATGTGACACAACTGGTCAGTACCCAACTCACTATTGCCCAAACATCAATACCACGTGTCCTGCAACATGCATTCCATTAAGAATTTCAACTTTCAGGTAGGGGAAACAACTTATTAAATCTGAAGGCTCATAGGCTCACAATGATGGTGGTATTCCCCCATGTTATATGAAATTCCTGTCCTATTTGACAGCCTATGATACAAAGCAAAGCAGTTATTGCAAGATGTGAAGGGAATGGCTGGAAACAAAAAGCCAACAGCAAAGTTAATTTCTGTAGTTGGGAATGGGATATTGGAACAGAATTGGGCACTAGTGATGTCAGCTATATCACTATTTGTATATCCATGAAGTTAAGATCACAGTAACAAAGTCAGACTGAGCTGAATGAATGCCATCTCATAGTTTTGCAAAACATCAAATAAGCTTAGTCAGAATTGTATTTTCATGACTGCTAATTTATGTACTCATACTGCTTGTGCACGATCCAAATGAGGTTCAGGTCCGTAATATAATAAAATGTGAGATGTGTTCATGTTCAAGCCTAAACTAACATAAACTGGAAAATGTTCCTCATCATTTGGATGGATCTTTATGACTAAAACATCTACAGAGAATCCACTGACCTGCTTCCGAAGCTTGGCAGGAGTCCCTCCAGGAAATGCGATGCGGATGACGACACAAGGCGGCTTCGACGTCACTCTTATGATGTAGAAAGATGTTGGAGCTTTCTCTTCTTCCCTAGAATTTAAAATTCATCAAACTCTTTGGATCTGCACAATAACAACAGATTGAATGGGGGACCTGCTACTTAACTCTTGCTGCATAAGGTTCAATGACATTAATGTGGAACAAAAAGTAGTCTTTGGATTTTCTTCTCTGTAAGTTCATAAAACTGGGGGGGAGTGATAGAACTCTGGTCCTGCATCATGTATTTAGTATAATATATGCATTCATTTCAGAATATAAGTGAGGTGAATGATCAAAAATCCCTAATTTTCTGGAATACTCCAGAAGTAACTAGCTTCCAGTATGTCCATAAGGTAAATATACTATATATCCTTTGCCTTTCTCCTCATGGATTTTCATTTTTACTGAGAAAAATAAAAGAAAGATCCAACTTCCTTGGCTACAAGGGGAAATAAAATACCAAATCTAAAGTTCCTTTGTTTAAATAAGTGCCATTCTAATAGGCATTTCTACAGAAAACTGACTTATTCCACAATAACTCATGGATAGACCTACTATTCACAAGTAGCCATAGAAGCATGTAAATTGTGTTGTCTTGCTCTTATTCTTGCTAAAAAAAAAATGAAAGCCTCTGAAGTTCCTCATTTCAAATGGACCTATTTAGTGGTTTGCATGAATAAAATTGAAATCATTTGCTTCCTTTCATCAAAAATTTCCTAGATGAATTTAAGCACAGATCTAATTGAAGTCTCACTATGCTAGATCCATTCCCCTTTCAATTTCTCTGCAATACATTTACAGGACATCATAAAAATATTTTTCCATTCATAAACTGTGCTCAAGGGAATTTCATGTACCCAACCCATGTACGCAAACAACCCAAATATGTCTTGAAATGATCTCAAAGTAAAGAAAAGCAGTGGATATTTCTGTGTTTTCAGATCTGTTCTTCAAGACTGACATATTTTGGTGTGATGCAGGAATTGCCAAACTATATTATTGAGGGTAAGAGGGCAGAATGATAAAAGACTCATGTAAAGGAGAACAGAATATGACACTTTTAAGTTTAGTTTCCATAAGAAGGGGAACTGTAAGAAAATTAAGGACAAAAAGCATGAGACTCTGCTGTATAAGGTATTCTAAATGGGACTTTATGAAATGAACTTTTTTAAAGGAAATTTAGTATCTTTGGTCAAACTTGATAGAAATCTTGTATTTTGGTACATTATGGTATCATTTTGTAACAGTGTGGGATTCAGATTATTTAAAGTTGTATGATATATTTAAGGCAAAATATTAATCAAAGATTGTCCATTAGGACATATTTTGAGAAATAAAATAAGGTTTGTTGAGGTATCAATGAAACAAAAAACTTGAATGAAAGAAAATAGAAAATAAGGATGTATTAAAGTCATTTTTAACTTTGAAATTTTACAGGAAGATTTTTAGACCCAAACTTTCCGGTTAAAGAGAAGTCAAGTCTAACCCAATATCTGGCATGTACTGAAATAACTGCCTGTGATTTATTCTAGTAAAATACTTAATTATTTAACTTTTGGCTCGTTTGAGAAGGGACCATTCAGGTAGGAGGATAACCTGCACTCACTCATAAATGAGGGTGAGGTAGATATGATTCTCGACCAGAACAAAAGTGCTCCATTCTTTGAGAAGAGTTGCTAATGCTGCTGATGCCTGGCGACACTGTATGGCTGAATACCGGCCAGCTGTGGAGGGCAGGTGGAGGGATCGTGGAACTGGACGATCATGCTCCAGCAGTAAGGCCAGTCGAGCTGTGTGCAACCATTTAGGCCAGATCGAAGGATCGAGAATCCCAATTGGTTTCCAAAATGACACAAACGTGGTATTTGGGGCATCACTGAAAAAACAAGGAGAGAAGTCAGACAATAATCAAATAGATATGACTGAAATAACCTGGGAATGAGTCCAATCTGTGACATACTTTGAGAAATAAACAAGCTTGTTGGAATTAGGTTGAAAGCAGAACAGAGGAGTTCCAGTGAGGAGATTCTCTGGAATATCATAGAAAGCAGGATCAGCTCTCAAAGAATGAAGGTGAGCAAGAAGCTGGTCTCCTTGAGCTAGCAACTTCAGATCAGACCAGAACTTCATCAAGACAGCACTTCGGAAAGGAGACTTGATGGGTTTCTTGTCTCGACATGTCAGATCGTGCAAGAATTCATAGCTTCCTGGATCCCAGAACAAACCATGGCTTGCATAAGTAAAATGAGCATGAAGATAAATTGGCCATCTGTTTTCATACTCACCTTGAATAGTGATTTCATAGGAAACGAAATCATTGGATACTGGCCAAGCAGATTTCAGAGAATACTCAAAATTCACATAGAGCTTCCATGGAAGGGATAGTGTGACCTGCAAAGCATAGCTGCTTAAAACCCATGCCCAAAGGACAATATTAGAATTCTCAGGCTTACTGTAAAATATGACAAAGCTACCTCTAAGGTATTTGAATCTGTGTCCAGTCGAAGATCTCCCAAGAAGAATCCTTCACGGAGACGAGTTGAAAGAGTGCTCTCAAATGATGTTTGCACCACTCCATCTGACTGCTTCTTCTTCAACAGGGGATGGTACAAGGAGGGGAGGAAACTTGGATTCCTGACCAGAACAGAGAGGGCATGAGGTAATTTTTAACCCTTTCATGCATGAATTTTTAAAGCAAAACAAAAATATGCCATTTATGGTTTAACGTTTGAGGAGGTACTCTGCCGTAGTAGTTGAATGTTCTACTGCTAGAAAGCAACACTGAACAGATCATGTGC